TATCCAGGTTTCCAGTTTCTCTCCCCTCCTAGAGCCAATAACTCACGTAAAAATATGCATGTCATTAGGTGTGTGCGTCACTTTTTCCAGCACCTGTTCTTCTTGAACACGCAAATGGAGGTGCTTCTATAGCCTGTGACACAAGCTGGTAATTTGGTGCTCCCCAATGGGCACGGCAGTGAAACTTGGAGCAAGCAGAGGTACCAATTACATGAGGAGAGGCAAAAGGGTGTGTCAGGATGGGATCTCGGTGCCATCAAAGTGGTGCTGGGCATGAGGCAGACGGCTGCCGTCATCTGTTCTGGCTTGAGCCATCTCAACTTGTCTCCCTGGATTATCTCCCAGCCCCTGGTCACAAGGGGAGGAAATAGTCATCAAATGAGTACTTTCTGCATGGGCTCAGAACAAGTTAGGTTCTCAAGACCCCTAGTTTTAGGCCAAACTAAACCACATTCAGTCATTTCTGCTCAGCTTCTTGAGGTCCTCAAGCTTCTCCCTCTTTCGGTAGGGCTATCTCATCTCAGGCACCAGACATTGATGCTCGTGGTCCAGCACAGCGATCTGGCAGGGCTTTCCATGGCTATCAGAGCATCCCTGCATGGCTTGTTTAGTTTCGTCTTTCCAGAGTGGAGATTCAGATGGGATCTTATTTGCTGTTGGTGTCCTCTTGGGACCACTTGCATGTATATTGACTACATTTTATAGAGGCAGGATATTGGTCCCCCTCGCTTTACCTGTAGCAGGTTAGGGTATTAGGTCTATGTGGTGTCAGGGTTGAGGGTCGTCTTATGTAGAGTCTAGATTATTGGTAAATGGGATAGTTTGGATAGCGATGATCCTGCCTCAGACCTGGGGTTGGACTAGACGTCCTCTGGAGGTCCCTCCCAGCCCTACTTCCCTATGACTCGAACTTGGAGAGGGGAGGACTTGCACCAAAAGAAGAGTCGAACTATTAAGTCCATGCAAGTTATTCACACATAAATGACTCCAGCCACAGGTTGCCAAAGACATGGTGAAGTCCCCATCCTTGGAGGTTTTTAAGACATGGCTAGACAAAACCTTGGGTGGGATGATGTAGCTGGGGCTGGTCCTGCTTGGAGCAGGGAGCTGGACTGGATGTGACCTCCTGAGGCCCCTCCCAACCTCGTTTTCTGTGATTCTGAGTCTATAATTCTAATTATAGAAACCAGCACGGGTTCGTGGCAGGCAGATCGTGCCTGACTAACCTAGTCTCTTTTTATGACCAGGTTACGAAACGCCTGGACACAGGAGGAGGGGTGCATGTCGTATACTTAGACTTCAGGAAGGCCTTCGATACGGTATCCCACCCCATACTGGTGAACAAGTTAAGAGGCTGTGACTTGGATGACTACACAGTCCGGTGGGTGGCGAATTGGCTGGAGGGTCGCACCCAGAGAGTCGTGGTGGATGGGTCGGCTTCGAAATATTCCATTTGTTTAAAATCCTAAACTAAAAGTTTGTAGAACTTAGTTTTTACTTTTTCTCTCTTTTTAAAGGCCTTTTAATTTAGCCCTCTGGTACTAGCAGTTTGGGTGCAGTCACTGCTAGCTTCAAAGCATTACACTCTGTAAAACACTTGCTTTGACATACGGATAAATGAAAAAGACATTTGAAGTCTTAGATAAGTGAAATCTAAAATACCTAACACTCTAACACACCTTACCCAATTTTTTTAATGTTTGAAGTGCCCATCTAAAAGACGGTAACATTTGTATTTTATTTTTATGCTGAAGGAATAAAAAATAGGAAAAGAAAATCAAAAAATGGATCTTTGCACAATGTAATAGGATATCAACTACTGAACCTGCCAAACAGTAAATTTTACCAAAAAATAACCTGTTTGAAAAGGAGATTATATGCAATATCATCACTCAGTTAAAAGAGCAGCCTATCCCAAATTTTTAAAAAGTAAAGGAACATTAAACATACAAATCTTTCTCTCTTGCAGTGAGAGAGAGTGATTTTATTAAAAAGTTATTTTATTTGGGAACACTTGTAGAAAAATACTCAGTTTGAAAGGCAAGATATTTGCTAAGGTTTCATAAATGTCTTCACTGTGAGAAATAACAAGTGAACTGATTTTGTTTTTACAAAATTGTGTGTATGTCCATAAATATGAGGGATATTAAGATGGGGCTATAGACTAGTAGAAAAATAGTCACAACATATCCTTATCCTGCAACACAAATAAATGATTAATAAAGAATGATCCAGCCCTCTTTCCTGCCTATGCAGGTGGTCGGACTCGATGATCTATTGAGGTCCCTTCCGACCCTAACATCTATGAATCTATGAATTTTTATTTATTTTTGGTTTAATCTTAAACTGAATGATACAGGTGGTGAGTTCTCCATCCTTGGAGGTGTTTAAGACCCGGGTGGACAAAGCCTTGGCTGGGATGACGTAGTTGGGGCTGGGCCTGCTTGGGGGCGGGGGGTGGAACAGATGTGGAC